TTCCACCCACCCACCCCCCTTCTTGTGTTCCTGCTGCTCTGGAAGCCCCGTCCGTGTGTCTGTGCGTTCAGTTGCTTGTGTTTTGGCTTCTTGTGTTTTGGTTTCCTTCTGAAGAGCCGTTTGCGTAATATCTTGTCAGAAAATAGCTCCGAATTCCCAGTCATAAATCTCAGGTGTCCACAGAATATTAAGCCATAAATCACCCTCTTTTTTTTTTTATTAATATTATTTTAATGCATTTAATTGTTTTAATATATTTTTTTTCCCTGCTTTTCCCCTTTTCTCCTTGTTCTCCTGGTGCTTTGGGTCAATATTATGGACTCAAATGATTGTTTTCCTGATGAGAAAAGATGATATAAAGAGGGATTGAGGGGGGGGGTTGGGGGGGAGAGGAAACATGGCGACTTCTTGAATTGATAACGTGTTTTTAGTCCCTTCCCAAAGTGTGTCCTGGGCAGGGGAGGGAAGGGGGGGTAGAAAAGAGGAGAGGGGCTTAGAAGATCACCCAGAAAAGCAACACCCAACATTGCAAACTCACGTCAGGCTGGAAGTTACATTTTCCCCCTCGACTTTGCCATTTCTCCCCCTCAAAACGTTGCCCTCTTCATGTGGTTAAAAAAAGAAAAGGTGATTCCCAGGCGCGACAACAACCGCGACAGCAGCCAGAAATTAAAAAAGAGGGGGGGGAAAAAAAGGAAAACAACAATAAAATCAAGAAAGTGAAATGAAAGAAAAAATTTAAATGAAATTAAAATGAAAAGAAGGAGGATTTTTGACTTGAAACTGGGGCCACCACCTCGTGTTTGGCGTTTGCAGCGATTCAAGAGTTGCAGATATTTCCAAGTGATGGGGGGGGGGGGGGGGGGGGGGGTGGGAAGTAAAAAAATTTCTCCTGCAAAACCCTGAGTGAGATGCCAAGTGTGTGTGTGTCTGCGTGGGGATTAGATCCTTGCCTTCTCTGGGCGGATGGCACCTAGAACTAATTGAAATGAAGACAGCTAATCTCATTTTAATTTCAATCTGGAGCCATAAATTGCCCCTTAAATGTAAAACATACCTGCTGATCTGTAAATATTGCGAGGTATCTTTATCATTCTGGTGGCTTGCTATTTAAAAATTCAATTATGGCAGGGTGACCCTGGCCTCCTCTGCCTGTGTTTGTGTTGTTTTTCCTCTCCCCCCCCCAAAATAAAACCTCTCTCGTGTTTGATCTGAAACCTGAGGGTGCGGGGGGACTGGGGAGAGGAAAATCTGTGGGTGCAACACCCCAACCTGATTTGTTTCCTTCCCTCTCAGACTTCACCCCTGTATTTTTTCTTGCTTGGATTTTTGATTTTCAGCGCTGTCTCCCCTGCCAGATTTTGAGCTGACAAAGAAAAGGGCTGAGGGGGGTTTGTGTCTGTGTCTGTGTGTGTATATTCCATCCCCCCCCCCCAGCTATAACAGGAACCCGGATGCAAAGGGATTTTATGCTCTTTTTCCTCGGGGGA